TAGTCACATAAAACTTGGGCACCCAAACACTCCTCATAATTTCCTTTCTCTTTTGGGCACCAACATATTTAACCACAATCTTGCCATCCTTGCCCCAACAACACATATAGTCACTAGCATAGCACCGTGGAAGTGGTGCTTGTGGCTTTGGGACATCGGATTGCTTTGTCTTGATTGTCTTGTTAGTTGTAGGTTGGATCTTTGGAATGTAGACCTTGTTGTTGGCCTTGCATATTAGCTCATCAAGAGCAACGCCCTTGTTGAACTTCACACAAGGCACACCATTGATAATGTTCATCCCATTGGCCCTTCCATCATACCTATTGTAGCCAATTCCTTCCTTGATTGATGGGTGCCTTGATGACTTGTATATAGCCTTGTTGGATTGCTCTTGACATTTGCATCCATTCTTCAAGATCATCTTCAACCTATGAATCTCCTTGTCTTTCTTCTCTAACTCAATAAGGTTAGTTGCATGTGCATTCACATCAAATTTATAGCATCTTTTACAACCATCACTAGTGGAGACATTAGAGTCTTTGGTTGCCTTAGGAGAAGTTGAAGTGCTAGCCCAAAGAGTACTATAGTTTAACTCAAGATTTTGGTATTTTTCTTCCAAGCTTGTGAGGCTTTCTTGAGCTATACTTTTCTCATACTTGAGGCTAGCTACTTGATCATTAATCGAGGAATGTTCCTTAGTCAATTTCCCAATTGAGTCATTGTCTAAAGACAATTCAATGGTTAACTTCTCAACCTTCATCTTTTCCTCGGCGATAGATGCTTCAAGTGCAATATTTTTTTCTCTCTTGAGTGATTATATCTCCTTGCATCTCTAAGCATCTATCCCTCTTCTCTAATTTCTTCATTAGTGTTTTTATTTTAGTGAAGGCCTTTTTACCAAATTTCTTTATCATAGTTGCTTCAATTTCTTCTATGTTCTCATCACAACTATCATTCTCATCACTAGAGGAAACGGGTGTAGTATGTACCTTCTCCCCTTTTGCCATGAAACAAGTTGGGGTATAGTAGTCGTTGTCGATGGGGTTGGAGAAGAGCCTCGGTGGTGAAGATAGGTTGGGGAAGAGTTTTGGTGGTGAAGTTGAGTTGGGGAAGATCATTGTCGGTGAAGAAGAGTGGTGGATGGCGATGTTTGTGGCTCCCTTCTTCTTCTTCTCATCATCACTTGAGTTACTATCACTTGACTCACATTCTTCCCCAAGATGAGCTTCACCTCTCTTCTTGCCTTTGTTCTTCTTGTCTTCATCCTTGTCATGCTTGTGCTTCTTTTTCTCATTAGGACAATCGGCTATGAAGTGACCGATTTGACCACATCCATAGCAAAATCTCTTTTTGAACCTTCTCTTACCATCACCATAGGTCTTGCGGTTGCTTTTCTTCTTCATAAACTTTCTAAGATTTCTAATCACAAAGGCAACCTCCACATCGGAATCTTCTTCTTCACTTGAGGAACCATCCTTCACTTTCTTCTTCTTTTCTTGACTTGAACCTTGACCTTCATGTTGTTGAGTTGCTTTAAGGGTTGCACTCTTGTTGAATCCCATTGCATTAGAATTTTGATTGTGAGCATTGATTGCATCTTCATCTAGACACTCATGATGCTTGAGCTTTGAAAGAACTTATTGATGTGTCATCTCATCATAACCGGGCCTTTCCATAATCACGGACGCTAGCATGTTGTTCTTGGCTCTATAGGTTCTCAACATCTTTCTAACAACCTTGTTGTCATCCCATTCGGTGCTTCCAAGAGCTCTTATGCGGTTGACCAATGCCATGAGCCTATCAAACATGGATTGTGTTGTTTCATTTTGCAAGAATACAAATCTTTCTAATTCACCATGAAGTAACTCAATGTTGCCTTTTCTCACACTCTTATCTCCTTCAAATGATACTTTCAAAGTATCCCAAATTTGTTTTGCACTTTCCATTCCATTTACTTTTCTAAACTCATCCGGAGCTAGGCTTGACACAAGCAATGCTATGGCTTATGCATTTTGATGGAGGTTGTGCACTTCTTCCGGAGTTATCTCTCTATCTTCATCGGTAGGAATCATCACACCAACATCTACAACTTCCCAAAGTATTGCGGCAATGAGATGCATCTTCATCTTGTAGGACCAATCGGTGTATCTTGTTCCATCAAAGTGAGGTGGCTTGCCAATGTTGACAGATGGAGTATGTAGTGTTGAACCTTTTATGAGTTGTCCATAGTCAAAACCCATATTTGAATAAATTCCTTTTCCATGAGCATGCTCACCGGCTCCAATATCACTAGCGGCATCTTTGCTTGCTTCATTCTTGTCACTTGTATCATTTTTGCCACTTATTGCATCATCAACTTTCTTGCTCAATTCTTCCTTCATCTTACTCATCTCATCTTGCATCTTTTTCATTTCATCTTGAAATAGCTTGGCTTGAGCAGCCATCAACTCTTCAGCTATTTTCTTGGCCATCTCGGCGGCAACGGCTTGCATCTTGTCGGACTCCGACATTGTTTCTTCTCACGTGGTGAAACGCAAAGAGAAGACCTTGCTCTGATACCAATTGAAAGGATCTAACAATGCCTAGAAGGGGGTGAATAGGCATATCTAAAAATTTACTACAAATGCTAAGTTCAATTCTGTCAGTCACTGTCGGAAGTCCCGACGTTTGGGTCGGAACTTCCGATGTTGTCAGAAGTTCCGGCGCAAACGTCAGCAGTTCTGATGCCCACGTGAACTACAAAAGTAGTGCCAAATTTAACTTTGCGGATGAATAAACTTACAACCTCACTTCCTAGTGGTTTGGTGAAGATGTTGGGTCACTCCCTTGACGTCGTAATGCCTCCAAACCGTAGATCGAGTCCAAACCCTAAAATGCAAATTTGGGAAAGAAAGAGACAAACACATACAAGTAATCTCTAGCAATCACAACAACAAGCACGCGGGACACAAAGATTTATCCCGAGGTTCGGCAACCCCACTAAGGAGCTCCTACGTCCTCGTTGTTGAGGTGACCACCAAGGTCGGAGTCTTTTCCACCTCCTTGCCTCTCTCAAAGCGACCACAAAGGTCACTTGAGCTTTCCACTAAGAAATCAAAGGGTGATACAAACTTCCCAAGGCTCTTCCACAAGATGAAAGCTCTAGGGCAACGCCTAGCCGGCTAGGGGCAAAGCCCCAAGAGTAATAGACGCAAAATCAGCTGGCTTGACGAAGAAATCAAGTGCTCAAGCTTTCCAAAGTGATGCTCTCACTTAATCCACTCTCCTTTCACTCAAACCCTAAAGGAATCGAGGATTAGAGCAAAGGGGGAAGGAGAGGGGTGCTTGAGTTGCTTGGGAGCTGTTGAGCACGAAGTGAGTCAACTGTGAAATGAGTCCGTAACGGTTAGAAGTGAAGAGAGGAGTATTTATACTCCAAGTAAAAATCCAACCGTTCAGATCTATGTCGGAAGTTCCGACACAGATCTCGGGACTTTCGACGATAACAGAAAACACTATACACAAAGAGTCAGAAGTTCGCGCGTGCAAGTCAGTGTCGGAACTCCCGGCAAACGTCGGGACTTCCGACGGTCGGAACTTCCGACGTACGTCGGGACTTCCGACGTGCACAGTTAAACACATAGCCAGCACCTCTGATGCCGGGACTCCCGGCTTGAGTCAGGTCAGTGTCAGAACTCCCAGCGAAAGTCAGGACTTCCGACGGTCGGAACTCCCAACGAACGTCGGGACTTCCGACGTGCACAGACAGCGAGCCAGTCAGAAGCACAGGTGCCGAGACTCCTGGCTTAGGTCGGGACTTCCGACCGTCGGGAGTTCCGAGTTACGTCGGGACTTCCGACATTGAAAGTCATAGAAAATAATTCTATGTGCTCGTGAAGTGCTGGAGTGACTCTCTTTTGATTTTATTTAAATGCTTGAGCACTCTATCTTCCTCAGACCAACTAAACTTGCGTCCCTCTTTATAGTGCGGCGGATCCTAGACTCAAAAACAAAATTTAAACCTTTGGAGATCGTTTTGAGTTCGTCCGCCTTTACAACTTTAAGAATTGAGGGATACCATTTCATCTTTATTAACTCTTTGAATCTTTCATGGGACTAATAGCTGCAACATATCTCATTAAGATCACATTAGTCCCTCATTTGGATGTCATCAATACACCAAAACCCACATAGGGGGCAAATGCACTTTCAGTGTTTCCTAGAAACGACACCAGAAACGCCGTGACAATATTTCTGAACACATGTAGAAATATTCCTCAAGCACACGGATATATCATTGTAGCATTTCACCCGGAAGTATTCGGTATCGTTCATTTATATTTTCCCAAAGGAAGGCATGGTGTAAAAGTTTCTAATATGGATATGGACAAGATAACATGACTGCATAGTAAACCAAAGTCCAAAATAGGGGTAATCCAAGATACATATTGAATAGTGTGACACATACTCAAGCCAAACTCAAGGATAAAGATAAAAGAAAGAATAAAGAATAAAAGAATATACCTAAACAAAAAGCTTATCTTATATAGCTATGATAAGATGAGAAGATCATACAAATACATGAATATCTAAGGGTGGCGATCCTAAGATAAGATAACTTTGGTCACTATAAACTTACTTCGGGCACCGATGTACGCTTGGTCTGCCAGCGATACCGGCCTACGGCTCTACGCCATATCCGAACGTGGGGGATTACGAAGGACGGACAAGGCTGTCACCACCTGCCGCCTACCCCTCAACCGAAGGATACGAGGCAAACAAAGGTCACTTCTAACATAGACACCACGTCTATGCTATTGGTTACTACTCTAGCGGTCGCCAGGAATTTCCGTTTTATCAGGAGTCCTCTTACTAGAGCATCCGCCACGGGACGGATGACGAACCCATAAGAATATAATGACCAAAACTAATCTTAAAGTAGAACCTACTACCTCAATTTAGGTCTTAGTATAAACATGTATGTATGAAAGATTAAGCACAATGATTGAGAAGGTCCCAAGATGGGTGAAGTATATGAAAGAATGGACAGTATGTTTGTAGAGATAACAGATGTCATGACCAACGAAGATTATCCTCACAAGGAAGATTTTCCTAAGGTTAATGAGATAATTATTAACCAGTGGAGTAAAATGAACATCCCACTCCATTGCCTAACTTTTGCACTACGCCCAAAGATCTATGATACTGAGTATCTGAAAACACCTGCTCCTGGAGGCATTCCCAGAAAAGCTCCAAATCAAGACAAGGAGGTCATGAGAGGGGTGGTACAAGCTTTTCGTAAAATAGCAGATGGTGATGCTGAACCAAAGATACTGCAAGAAGAATTTATTGCATTTCACATGAAGAAAGGAATGTATGCATTACCGGCTGTTCAAACTGATGCAACCACAATGACACCCATTGATCGGTGCTCGATCTAACTATGGCTCCAAGACTCCAAATTTAGCAGAAGTTGCTTTCAAGGTCCTACCTCAGCCAATCAATAGCTCCTCTGCTGAAAGAAGTTGGAGTACATATTCATACGTATGGGATGTGAAGAGAAACATGCTAAATTCAAAAACTGCATGTAAATTGGTTTATGTCCACTGCAACATTCATCTTCAGTCGAGGTTTTCAGAGAGCTACAAAGCAGGCCCTAACAGCAAATGGGACGCAGATCCAAATGATGCATCCTTGGAGGAATCAAGAATCAAGATTGAAGCTCAAGCAATTGTGCTGGAAAGATTTGGAGAAGGATGTGGTCATTGATCCTCTAATTAACGAGACCGGCTCATCATCGAAGAAGATCACCAAAAACAAGAATAATTGATTGGTATGCCACTGTCCTATAATTAAAATTTTAAACTTTATAGTCTGTACTCTGTAGTCTATGCTTTCACACAAACATTATACTGAAATACTGAATCTATGACTATTGTTTGCAGGAGTGTAGGATGGCTGGTGTGGAGTAGTGGACTACAGGAGTCAGGACTACAGAAACGCTCAGGAGAACAAGCATGGCTGCCCGCTGCTGTCGATTGTTAGTCGTCTTTCTTTCATTTAATAAATAAAGTTAGTGGTGAGAGTGTGAGATCGAGAGTCAGAGAGTCAGAGTCATAAACTATTTGCAGATTTCTCATTTTGCTTTGTTGGATTGGATCATGTAATGAGTGATTTTAATTACGAACTTCAGTTTGCATTGGACATGTTTTCTGGTGATTCAGTTATTCCATAAGTCATATATACATATATTCATGCGCCTTGCTTGCTCATCAATGTATAAATATTGTATTTATGTACTATATACATAAATCAAAGTGACCCAACTTACTCCAAATCACGTACCTATGCCAACTCCTCAATTCAGGGCCATCGACCTAGGCGCCCTGGGTTCACAACCCTCGTCTCTAGGCTTCGTACTAGGTTCATCGACCTAGGACTGCTGGGTTCGCGACCCTCGACTCCAGATTTCTCGTACCAGGGTCATCGACTCAAAACCACTAGAGTCATGACCCATGAACCATAACCTTCGGATTCAGGTACCAAATGTTTGGTTCTCGTTCTGCAGAGGTAATACCCCCTTATACCACATTTTTTTCAATTGTCGACCAACGTCCCTCGACCCCATCCCTCGACACGGTCGACCGAGAATTCTTGTGACTATGTTAAGGACACGCACGTCAACGGACAGCGGGCACTTTGAACTCACGTCAGTGGACAGCGGGCACTTCGACCATCGGAATCATGGTCTTCGCTGCACAGCATAAGGATCCCTTTTGGAGGATTCTTATGGACTACATCAAGTATGTTATGGTAAAAAGGCATGATGTTTAGAGCATCTGTTCATCGGGGAACGAAAATGCAAAACAGGTTGCATCGCTGATTTTTGGACAGCAGGAGTAGCAGTTACTATGGCCTCGATATCTCGGCCATCGTGGCACCTATAACCTAGCCAACTTGCAGAGACAAGTGCAAGTATATGAGTCATATCACAGTTGAAGGGTTCGAGGATTGGATTGATGGATTAACGGGAAACGCGAAAGCCATTCAGAGCTGCAAGCTGCGAGGACAGCAGGGACAGCAGGCATGGCCGGCATGGAGATGAAGATATCTCCTGCATCTCATCTCCTATGGCCAAACCATCTTACAGAGGCGTGTGCAGGTATATAACTAGACTCTGGTCATAGGGTTCGCCGTTCCATCGGCAGCAGCAAAACTGGTCGTGAGGACAGCAACATGTATCGGGGCAAAACAGCGCTGGGGATCACCCAAACGTCATCCATGGCACACCAGCGAGGAACATGAAAACAAGATGAGGAAGATGATGGAACGTTCTCACCTAGGGTTAGGGTTTGGTGGTGAGAGGAGAAGCGGTCAATGGCAGGCACCGACGACGTGGTACGGCGGGGCGTCCTGCTCGCGCTGCCGCGCTGATCAGGGCATCCTGCTCGCGCTGCTGCTGGTCGGGGCGTCCTCCATGGTGGCAGCAGCAACCACCACACCATGTACAGCAGCGAGGGTGGTGGTGATCTACTCCATGGTGTGCTCGAGCGTAGAATGCAGTTGCGGATCGAATCCATGCGTCGTCAGCGCTCCGTTTTGGTGGAGGGAAGGGAGAGGGAACTAGGGAAGAGGAGGGGGCGGCCATGGGGAGGATGAAGAACAGAGGGAGGTCGCCCCTTCTGTTCTGTATGTACGTGAAAAAGGAGGAGGGGGTGGCACTGGTTGTCGAGGGTAGGAGGAAAGGGACGGCCACAGGGAGAGAAAAGAGAGAAGGGGTTAGCATGGGATTGGGCCAAAATTATGGGAGGCCCATATACTTAATCCACTAGCAAAAGAGAGAGATGTGGGGCTGGTTTACTAATGGGCTAAGGCTATAGATTTGGCCCAAGGGGAGATAAGATGGAAGGGAGGTGTTGGGCTCGGCCCGCTATTCCCGGAGGCAAAAAAAATAGTGTTTCCAAAAAAATAGGTTTTTTAAGGAATTGACATTGCATCGAAAACAATTCACCTCCGGAGGACGAGAAAAGATAGAGAAAGGGCCATGTTAGGGTTAGATAGGATCTATAGAAAAGATTTGATTAGGATTTTAGAACTTCGATCGAAACTAGGTTAGGGTTCAAACGATCGATATTTTGAGTATTCTGAGCTACGATTTTGTGCTGATGAAGTTCCGAAGAACGGTTAGGGTTTTGGGAGATAGGATTAGGGTTTAAAAAAGGTGGTACCAAGGCCATAAAGATTTGAAGGATGATTCAAATACAAGTTTAGCTTTTATCATTGGATATATAAAAAGGAGAAAAATCAGTGAAAGAGAGTAGATTAAGGTTTTAAAGATAGTGAAACTCGATTAGGTTTTCAAGGGTGTCGAAAGTCCAACAAGGATTTTAGGGCTTCAAACACATGAGATGATATTGTGGAGGATTTGATTTGGATAGAACCCTAGGTGCACTCGAAAACATTTATACTCATTTTCCATATAGAAGCACTATGCAAAATCATGAATGCAACATACATATTTTCACTAACTTGTAGAAGTTTTATAAACCATATTTTTATTTCTTTGAATTGACGACAAGCTAAATAAATGTTGACAAATTTTAGAAAATATATTAAATCATTTATTTTAGTTAGTGTTTTCTATTCATAGCCCAAAATAGAAATTTTGGTGTGTGACACATATCCTCAGATATGTTAATGGCACGATGTAATGGAGACGGGGATGCCGATCTTCCGTCAGGTGATGGTAACTATCGTTGTGGCGGAGAATGACACACCGATCCGGCTTCGTGATCGAAAGATCGAACCACTTTTCAATCTTAGCACCACAGCTCCTCAAATCATTATCAACCTATAGTCACGGACCAGGTTGACCTCGCCAAGAAGGCTAATCCATGTGCCTTGGTGCGCAACGAAGAACACAAGCAAGAACAAGAAAGAACGCAACCAAATTGCAAATGTATGATTAATCTCACTAGTTGGGGTCTCACAAACCGAAGAACGGCGAAACTGTTTCTTGATAGAATAATCTAAGCAAAACCCAAACCCTAATGGAGGGCGGCGGCTGTTTATGAAGACTCTCTGAAGGGAATTGAGTACATGAGTGACTTCAAGATTTGCAAGGTTCATGGAGAGAAATCTCCTAGTCGTGCAAGACCCCTGGACGCGCCCCTAATGGGCCCAAACTTCGATACATGGTCCAACGGACCAAAAGGACGAACTCAAAAGCACCACAGAGATTTTGGACGCTGACTTGTTTCGACGATTCTCGTTGATTCCAAACAGATTTTGACGTGCAACCACTTTGATTGGCTTCCTTATCAAATTAGCTTTCCATCCATATGTGGATCATCGAAAACGGAGTCCGGATGCGTCCTGGGTGTCCGTTTTATTGCAGACTGGTCCTGATGGCCGAGGCAGACTCGAACTCGGATTGGACTGGGCCTCTGGCTTGGCTTGGACGTCCTTGCTGGCCTCCTAAGGTGGTGGCCAAGGAGGAGGACGTCCAAGGGCTTTCTTGGTGGGTTCTCCAAGTCCTTGGGGTGTGCTCCCACTTGGGCCAGGGTCCCAAGGATGAATAACAAGCCCATAACGATAGTGTAGCTCCCAACAGAAACAATGACAGAATATATTGGCGATTTGGAGGCCTTGCCGATGTGATATTGAGATGGAACCAGATCTATTTGAAAGCTTATCAAACAAGCTTTCCATCAAGTGCTCATTGACCTCGATCGCACTCCGGATGGATGAGTTATGGCCTTCCCAATGAGGCACTATCGGACTGCCGACGAACCGAAAGTTCAACTTTGATGAACTTCCATTATGAAACACATTTGAACCTACAATCAAATAGTGACATGTACATGTGGAACCAAGTGAATTATAACCAAAGCGACTATGCAAATGTAGGAACGAGCGCACCTTATAATCATTGTTCGTATCCGAAGGTGCCATGTCCTCATCATGATGGATCTTGAACTATTTTTTCAAAGGAACCCAGATTCGAATATGATTGGATACACTAATGTTGGCTATTTATCTAATCCCCATAATAGTCGATCTGAGCCAGGCTTTGTGTTCTTACACGGAGGAACAACTATTTCATGGTTGTCTTCAAAGCAGACTCTAGTGGCTACCTCAACAAATCATTATGAAGTAATTGCACTATATGAGGCCTCATGTGAATGTATATGGCTTCGTAGAATGATAAACCACATACAACAATCATGTGGCATTGGTGCAATCGATTTACAAACAATTATCTATGTAGATAATTTTGTTTGTGTTACACAGATGAAGACAGACTACATCAATAGCAACATAACCGAGCATATTTCTCCTAAGTTGTTTTATCCTCATGAGTTAAAATAGATGGGTGAAATAAACATCTTGCAAACCAAATCATGCGGTAATCTCGTTGATTTCTTCACTAACTCCTTACCAGAGCTTCCTCATTCTAGAAATTTGTTCAAGGAATTGGTACGCGATGACTTCAAGATTTGCAAGGTTCATGGAGAGAAATCTCCTAGATGTTGACTTGTCCAAAGCGATAGAACCATCTAATCTAATGCCTCCCAGGAGTACTTGTCTTCTATTAGACACTAAGTACCCAAGAGAGGACACTAAACTACACAGTTCTGTCGAGCACACCCCAAGGGAGAACTCAAAAATCCATATTTTTCCATCAGGATCACAAATGAGAGAATAAAGCTTACAACATTCTTAAGTCATTCCTTACATCATCTTATTACAGTACCAGAATATTACCTCAATTTAGTATAACAGCGGAATATAACACAGATTTTACAACTTTTGTTATAAAAACCTTTA